CAACTTGGCATATTTAAATTTTCATGCGACATAACCTAACCTATGATGTAAACCCTGAAGTGTTTAGTTCTTCAATACCCTCTCCCAGGCGGAAACTCGACTATCTCAGAAAAATGTTTAATGTTTAAAATTATGCTATTAAAAACTCTTTTAAAACACGAACGTATCCATGAACAGATTAAGTCTTCACATAACGAATCAAATGTTACGTTTGAAAGCAAATTCATCCTTTTTGCAAACCTAGAACATATATGTGGTTGTAATTTGTATTGAAAGTTTGCAAAGTACATTGGCATTAATTTTGTTTTATAATGCGTTCTATGGTAAATATCGGGCGCTCCTTGATCAGCACGAATAGCTAAAGCTGACTTAGCTAAACTGCGACTGTGTCTATTAAAATCGTAATTGCGGCTTAAGACTTCTGTCTATGATGGCAAAATTAGTTTGAATCTCTTAACTTTTACGTGCGCCCGATTAAATTACTAATTAACCAACAATTGGATATCAAATTAAATATCCTAAGCTCCTGTTAGCCTTTCTGGGGAAACATTGAAATATGTTCGGAAAACGTAGAAGTTTTACATTAGCAGACAGACATAGTTGAAATGATGCTAGCGTTTAAAGGATAGAGTTGTAAAGCTTGTTTTTTTTTTTTTTTTATTAGAGAAAACATTATCTACGGGTTACTTTAAAAGTCAAAGCGTAGACTTTCTTTCTGAGGCGAATATTTAATAAACTAAAATATTTTTCATTTACGAAAAGTGGATTTCCAAGAGTATCGAACCAAATAAATGAATGGTATATCTAGGATTACTGCAGTCATATAATCATGTAAAAATTTTAAATTAACACAAATCGATTGTTAGCGTAAATATTGTAGAGTGGGGGTGGCTAAAAACAAATAGTTGAAGACAAAAAAATTGCTTTTAAATAAATATTTGCCACATATCCAAAAACAGTATAGTGGGACACGGTCCATCATTAAACACGCTGCCTTATTGCGTTCAATGGATATTCATATTTCCGGCTTTTTAAAGTAAAGCGTTACAGATGACAGATGATGTGGACAGAAAATGTGGTCCGCTCGGAACCATTTTCAATAGCCTTCGTTTTTTGGTAGAAAACATATCTATATACCAAATTTCATCGAAATATCCCGAAACTTACAACCTACAGGTTCAAGCACAAAATACTAAGCACAAATGCTGTAGGGTATTAGAGAAAATCAATAAATAAATAAATGGCAAAAGTGAAAATCTATAAATTGTTCTCTGCTATGTCCCTAGCTTACCATTCGAAGAATGGGACCATTTTATTTGATAAATTCGTTTAGGAAGCTCAAAACTATTGCATGGGGATAGGCACATCATGCATAACGCGGTAAATGCACTGACTGAGCTAAGAAAATGCATCAACAAGCTTATCTATCTGGGCATGTAAACGAGCGAAATTGTTGCCCCTCGGACAATGGCAATAGTCGTAGCATCTCTTCAGCCACAACGAATGACAGTTTAGTGCATCTTTTGGGCCGGATGGTGTAGTTGGATCATCATTTCTTTAAGTTCTTGTAAGTTTGTCCTTTAGAGTAAGTGGGTTGCCTTACCGAACTAGGTTAACTGATCGTTTTTTGGCCCGAAATTGACACAACGGATACGGGCAGGGTTTATTTTGAGTAGAACGACGCCATCTATGACACAGTTCGTAGAGCAGCCGTAAATATCCCATGATCATTACACTTTGCTCTTTTAGGGCTATACCTCAGCAGGCTACGTAAATAGGGACGGTTCACGCCAATACTGTAGCCATGACGCAAGTACTTGAAGAACAAGTTAGATGCTGCTCTAAACGACACCTCCGCAATTATGACAGAACCTAACGGGACATTTCACTAAAAGAAAATGCCACAAGTACGTTTCTCATTGGATATTAATTAACACTCCATTGCTAACATCACAGTTTCTTCCTTTCAATATAAAATGAAATCTTTTATCCAAAGACCCTTTAAAAGTGGTGGTGATTGATTGGTAGAAAGCGAATTGCGATGGTTTTCTCGCTTGTTCAATCGTATCGATATTATAAGTTAGATCCGATGCTTATGCAGCTAACCTCATATATAAGAGAGGAACGAAAGAGCGAAGAAAACCTTTGAAACCCATTTTTAAAATGATGTAACGCCTTACAGAACATTAACGATATCGTACATCTTTTCTTTCAAAATGACTTTAATCAGCACAATAACAATAACAAATTTGCAATGACAATAACAGAAGGGAATGTTATATGCGAAGGATATCATCATATCATCGCTTGAATTTATTTTCATTTGCAAATTTGCAAACAATTCCTTACGGATATTAATCAAAATTTAGATAGTTATGAACATTTATGTCTTGAATTTATTTAAGTAGAACAAGAAAAATTGAAGAAATCATTCTAAGCTAATGAAGCGAAATGTTTTCACATAAGCATGAAACATTTTATCTCGTGAAATGTCATCTAGATAGACATGCTTTCATGCATTCATTTACATAACGAAAACGATGCTTTATTCATCTTGTGCTTTGAAATTTTTATTAGCGGAAGTAAAACTAAATTGGAGCGACATAGTAATGTCCGTTAACAATTTCGGAAGCAATTTAAAAATATCCGTTTCTATGTTTTTCTTGCCTCATTTGCAGGAAGCATTTCTTGCTGTAATTACAATTTTATCTATAAACAAATCAGTCTTACAAAGTAAAACATGTGCTGCTGTTTTGTAGTTAGATGTCAGAGGCAGTTTCAAGGCAGACGCAGACAAACTAGTAAAGCATGAAAATGTTACTACTATGTTCAAGAAGTGAAACCAAATTTAATTTTAACTTTTTTAAATTTACTTATTATTCCAAATCTGTTGCGTTGTCTTCAAATTGGTCTGTCCCAACGAAACAGTTGTTGCGGTCGTTTTCCGGAATGGCCTTCAAAACTTTCTGCAATGCAAGTCGTACCTCTTCAATCGAGTCAAAATGTTGCCCCGATATGGTCTATACTTTTCACTGCAAGGCCGACGATGGTCGAAATCCTTAATGCCACAAGTGATTCACCGGAAATGTTCAATAGAATTCCCAATAATTTTCAGGTATTAATAATAACCAAGCGAACTGTTGAAAAAGGACTTGAACAGGAACAACTAAAGGCATTCAGTTTCTCTTTGTTACGAACATTTCAGTGGAAAAGATGACTTTTCATTGGATAGATTGATTAGCAGAAAATAAGCTTACATATAAGATGCAACAAACGCAGCCTCTTAGCGTTAATGTGAGATCACCAAACAATTCCTCATAATATTTTAAATTTAAAGAGAAATGCACGAAAGCACGAAGACGCATATATTATAACAAGTAAAGCCGATAAGAGTCTACCTCTTATAATAGGATTACTACTATAGCGGAAATAGTTAATTTATTTACAAAGACAATCCAGGTATGCCAATAAGCAACAATAAGCAATGATATAATAAATTGACTCTGAGCAAGTGCCTGCGTTATCGCAGATGCTCTCAGCTTTGTGTCAGACAAGCGACAGTATTCTCTTATTTTTATATATGATGCATAGTTTAAGCTTCTCTTCACATGTTCGGCACTCTGGCATACTTCGTAGATCTCTGATAAAGCCGAACTCAAAAGCAACAAACATAACGATCAGACAATTCTTAGCTTCTTTACGAACTTCTTCACGAGGTTAAGAAACCCAACGAAACTCAAAATCATTAAAACTGAATAACGCGTTCATGTTTCCTTCGTTATAATGCAGTAGCTTGGCAACCCGCATCACGTGATCAGATGATCGTACCGTTATGAAGAGATGAAGGGGATTTTTTCATCTACATACACTCCAAAGTAAAAATAATTTTTCTAAAAGCCCTTATGAGCTCAAAAAAAAAGCATACGTTAATGCAAATGAGCTGTGCTTGTATTTACGACACCATACAGCCCCGTTCCCTTCTCGCACAAAGTGTATGCATTCTTTTTCATCGGGATAAAATTTTGAATATGCAAATTATCAAATGTCGGAAAACTTAAGACAGCAAGCTTAGCTTTTCTTGGCATGGTCTTAATTAATAAGCACAAATCAACTATGAAAATGGGCGTAATTTTTCGACAATCTCGCCAATGAAAGGCGTAACAATAATTATAACCACCTCTCTATTTCTCTCTTCCTTTTTCCTCACTGCTTTCTGACGATCACCGCATTGCCCGAACAGGGGACATTCCCTGAGCGATTATGGTCATGTTAAAAAAGGAATATCTCTTATTTGTTTCACAGGAGATATTAATTCAAAACTTGATAGTAAAGAATATATAGATAGAAGTTTAAAAATTCAGAGCGAAAGCAGACGTAATCTGCCCGAAAAAGCACCCGCAAGAAGCCTAAATGTACATATAGTTTGAAAGCTATAGCAGTTACAAGTCAGAAACTTGTTACAAGTCTTTATCTGGATCAGCTACAAACGTAGTGGGAAAACGAGGGCCTTATCGACATATACATATCCATTCGCGCACACATTAGGCGAAAGGTGTTAACTTACAATCTCCAACAGTTATTTACGTAAAGCTTCTTACAACGATTTAGGAGGTCCTTTCAAAAATTTTATGCGAAGCAGGCTTTAAGCGCTCACAATTCGACAATAGTCAGAAGACACTGTACATAATATATTGCAATTTTCGATAGGTCGGCTTAAAGCGTATCTTGAAAGTTTAATTAAAATTTCCTACTTTTTCTTATCATTTAAAAGTGAATTTATTTTCAGTAAACATTGAGCAAAAGAAAAGTGGAAATCTTCAGTTAATATTCATGTAAATATTGAAGAAGAGTAAAAGTTTTGTTGAAAACGCAAAAAAAGTATGAAACAAACGAAACGGAAAACATTAGTGTGGAAATTTCATTTATTTTATTGTCAATTGAGATGAATTCCTTGAAAACTGTCATTTAAACTTTGGTTGTTACCTTTTAACCTTTTACAGCTTGGATGCTTGGCTGGTTAATGTGCAAAACAGTACCTTATATACAGGGCGTATCTGTGGCTGCCTCGGTTTACAGTCTAATAGCGGTTTCGCTGGATAGGTAAGTAATTGAAAGGCAACATAATGTCAGGTATTTAGGTAAAGCGCGCTTTATCTATTAACTTTTTTATTCTTGGAACGGAAAAGGGCATAACAGAGTAAAAATTGAGGAAAAAGGTAAAAAAACAAAAAAACAAAATAAAACAAAAATATTCTATTTAATGATGGGCGGCAACAAGAGCCGGTCCAGCATGATGTACGGGCACAACAGGTACAACTGATTTAGCGACAACCGGGGCAACTACCGCTTTAACGGCTGGAGCAGGATGATGAACCACATGCCTGCATTGCAAACGAGAGAGAGAGAACATAGTTCGTGAACACCATCGGCCAAAAATTTAAAAATTATTTAGATCTGCTACTACTTACGAATGCACCGAATGCAGGCCTTGATGAACTACCGCTGGAGCTGCATGAGCTGCTAGAACCGGGGCATGAGCCGCGACAACGGGTACAGCAGGAACAGCGTGCACAGCATGACCAACGGGAACCCCTGGAGTAGCGTAAGCTACGGCGAGAATAGACAAAGCCAACAACTAAATTAAATAAACAAAAGAATTCGCAAAAACATTTGTCATCCACTGCGTTGATCTCTGGCGCCGTAAACTTACGAATTTGAACATTTTCGTTATTTTAATAGCTTTCTTAAGCAAAATAAATAATGTCTCTGAGTGTATCTTGGGTATTTTGGCAAATGATTTGCGACTACTAATGAAAATCTTAAGTAGACAGCGAGCTTTTATACTTTTAACAACTTTTCCGTATAATAAACGACAATATTAGCTTAACACCAGACTGACGCCTGTTACTGTTCTAACGTATATTAGCGTTTACTTATAGAAAAAAAAAAAAAATAATAAGAAAAAAAAAAGAAAAAAAAAAGTAGTAGCTAACCTAACAAACACACACCAGCTAAACTAGATGACCGCCGCTTCGTACTTTATTGAAGTGATAGTAGCCTGCCTTAAACTTCTTTATATTTTCTGAGGATTCAAGGAGACTTGATGTCTCTACGCAAGATTCACACATGCACTAGCACTAGCTATTACGACAATTTCATATCGGAGCGCCTATAAAACCGATAATAATTATTTATATGTTTTTATACTTTTAACAGAAATTTGATTACAAAATTTTAGATATAAAGTTCATTCTGGCTATTTATTCTACGATAAAAATACGAGCTCATGTCGAATTCCATTAACATGAATAAGCATCTGTGGACATACGTATGTATGATAATAACACAACAGAGTTGTAATTTTGGTTATAAAAGTCCGTTAACGTATACATTTGCTCAAAACAAGATGCCGGACTCGTTTTACCTACATTTGTCTGTCCGTAGTCTAGTGTTGACTTTCGCTGGTTCTCTAGCAATAAAGCAGAGAAGAACTCTGAAATATTTGCCAATCTTCTAAATTGCTATTTGCTTAAATCTATCCATGTATCTTTCCGTTCTCCGTTCGTTCATTCAATTTTCGTCATGTCAAAAAAAGCAGCTAGAACGCAAACATCCGATCATATATGTCCAGTTGACATCCGCAGACAAACGGCAAAGTTGACTTAGAAGTTTTTCTCTGTCCATCTCTAAACTGGTTTTTCATGCAATCTGTTCGTGGCCGTAGACCAGGATTAAAGCAATTTAAATTTTCTTGTCTGACCTTTCGTTTGCCATTTGTTCTTTCAACTGTCGAAACAACAAGGAGCAGGAAAACTGAAACCTAAGGCACAAGCCTTTTAGTTGTTGCCCATAAACCAAGTTTTAAAGTAAATTTTACTATTTTGGTCCGTCCTTCCGTTCGTTATTTGCTCTTCATCTTGAAGAAAACAGATGAAAAGCTGCTACCTGATCATGTGTATTTATTCGACGGCCATAACTGATGTTTAAAATCGTCATAGCGGGTTTTTTTCATTCTTGTCTGTGCTGTTGTTTCTTACAACTCTCACGTTTTCAGGGAAGAAGGGAAAGTCTGAAATCTTCCTTAGTACATTGCCTAATTAGATCCTTGCCTTAGTTAGAGCTTCGGCGGAAGCTTACGCCGCTTATTGGCACCTTCACACCTTGAAAAAGGTGCAAAAGTCACAAGATTAACTAGTAGTCACAGCTCTAAACGAAAAAGTATTATTTCCATAAGTTTAGAGGTTTTAGGTTGTTGCAAATATCATTCAAATATTTAACAATCAATCAATCTACCATTATTCACTAGTATCGGATATGTATTTCGGCATGTTCACCAATCATTCCAACAAGCGTCCATAAGTAACAAGAGAGGAGGAAATTTTACGATTATTAAGATGTTGGGTATCTAAGATTCATCTTAAAGGTATTTATAGCATAATTGTTTGTTTTGTTGAATATCTGCAGTTTAAAGGTAAGCAACGCTCTGCTGATATCTAATGTAAATTTGTAACTTTGTAGGTATGTGCCTACTTTAAAAATGTTTCATTTACCCAGTTTTATAGGCTTCAAAAAGCTGTCTCTCCAATTAGTTGTTTTTTAATATAAAATATATAAAATATTATATTATATGAAACAACAACAACAACAACAACAACAATAAAATGAGATCAAGTTCAATTAATATGTTCAAATCATACAGTAGCTCATAAGTCAGCGCGTTGTCGTTTTCTTGTTTTTTATGTAATATCTACGCTAAAGTTGTTGGTTAGCTTGAAAAAGTTTCAAAAACAAAAATTTTTTTTTTGAATGAATGTAAGACATAATCACACAGTAATATTTAGAATAAATGATTGCTGGAGAAACCATAAGGTTGAACACTTAACTAAATGGATCACTTCTAGAAAAAGTATAGGGAAACAAATTTCCAATGAGTTATTGTCTTTTTTTATGAAGATATAGGCGAAAAGAGAAGATGAGAAGAGAGATGAAGAAAAGAAGGACGACAAAAAAAGAGAAAAAGTAGAAGAAGAAGTTTTCCATATCCGAAATTGCCTATAGCAGGCAGAGCATAAACACACGATTCCTACAGAATCAGCTCTGCTGCCTATAGATTCACTTATTAAGGCCTGATCGAGTATTGTTTTCAAAAGCTTGACACTTTCGCCTAATTCATAATGCGCCAGGAGTTTAGTTCTTCCAGTTAGTTTCAGTTCAAATATCGCTGACATATTTTTTAGAAAACTGAGAAAACTAAATAAATTTACACGGATTTTATATGGACTGACAAGACGGTCTCTGAAAAATGTCATCAAACGAAAACTTGCCAGGTTTAGGAAAAGGAAAGCTTTCACTTCGTCTTAAGGGCCGGGCCGTTGCAGCATTGTAACGTCATTCGAAATCGTTTTCTTACATACAGATGAGGCGTTGATTTGCGACCCGAAGAAGTTCCGAAGTGAAGTTACAACTAATATTCTTCACCTTTTGTGGCCAAGTGTCTAGCAAACGGAAAGTTAACAATGAAAAGTGCATTTTATTATCTTGAGATGGCTGCTTGAAAGCACGTTTTGGCAAAGTGAATAGTCACGCCAAGAGTTATCTCACTTCCCACGACTTCAAAAACAACTTAGACATCTTAAAAAAATAAACCGTCGGTGGCACCCTAATATTTGCAATTACCCATGAGAATTTCTCAACAAGTTCACCAGAAGCTCTTTACCCTCGATGAGGTGTAAAACTAATCTGCAGCTCGTCGTCTCCGTCATTGTCCTCAATTGAAAAGAGCTCAACGACTAAGTGTTTTCTTTTTTTTGCAAGTCTTACTTCCAATGTATTTAGTTTAGTTTCTTGACCACAAGTGGAAGAAACGTTTAATTTATTATTACGCTTTTAATTCTTTTCTTTTCTTCTTTTTATAAATTTTGTAGATTCATAGCGATTTGGTGGCCATTGCGTCAGTTATCGAAGAGTAGAGCTCGCTTCATGATTTTGTGCATTTGGATTATAGCATTCGGTAGCACTATACCGTGGGCTCTTTATTTCGATTTGGTACCAACGGCCGAGGCCTATCCGCTAGCACCGGATATGTATTTGTGTCAGGAAGTTTGGCCACCGGGAACAAATGGAAATTTATATTTCCTGTTAGCGCATCTGTTGGCCTGCTATGTGCTGCCCATGTTTCTGATAACCTTGTGTTACGTTTTGATTTGGATCAAAGTGTCAACGCGCTCAATACCTGGCGATACCAAGGACGCACAAATGGATCGAATGCAACAAAAGTCTAAAGTTAAGGTCGTTAAAATGTTGGTTGCCGTCGTTATATTGTTTGTACTATCCTGGCTGCCTCTGTATGTGATATTCGCTCGCATAAAGTTCGGTAAGTTGACAGACACAGGTATGTAATATGCACACAAACATACACACACACATATATATATATATATATATATATATATATATATACGTAGGAAAGCACACCTTAATGCTTCGAAGGGCTTATTGTTTATAGTCACATATGCATATGTTTGTACGTATATGCTCTAGCTGAAGGTTATTGAAGATTTTCATCTATAGAATGGAAAAAAAAAAAGGAGAAAAAACGAATAAAACAGAAATAAAAACAAAAACATAGTCATACGAACGCATAATCAGTTGTAGTGCACACATGTGTATGAATGCACTTTGACCTCCAAAATATAAAATTAAATTAAAAAACCATAAAAAAAAAAAACAAAGAAAGAATAAGAAAAACTCCCACTTTGTTTACCTTCACATTCTGCCAACTAACCTGTTTCCAATGTCAATTGCATGCCACGCACACACAAAAAATAAAAATACAAACGCAAAATGCAGGCGGAGAGATTTCCATTGAGGAGAGTGAAATCTTGAACAAGGTCACACCGTTTGCTCAATGGCTGGGCTCATCAAATTCATGCATTAACCCCATTCTGTATGCGTTCTTTAATAAAAAATATAGACGAGGCTTTGCCGCTATTATTAAGTCGCGCTCTTGTTGCGGCCGTCTAAGGTAAGCAAATCGTTATCTATAGACGCTTTAGCGCTACGATTTCTTATTATTATTATTATTACTATTAATGTTTTCCTTTAATATATACAGATATTACGATAATGTCGCTATAGTTTCATCAACTACTAGCACGAGTCGTCGCAAATCATCACACTACCATCAAAACAACGGATCACGTAAGAATCCTAGCAGTCCTGGTTTGCGTAAAACCAACGCGGTTTCCTATATTTACGAGCACAACTCGTTACGGCGCCACAATCTGATGTGCAAACAGGATAGCAATTTGTCACAACAGATGCTTTTAAAACAAGACTCGCATGGGTCACGACAATATCTTATTAAACAAGAGAGTGCTTCCAGCGATGGGTCACGTCGTTTGCTATGCCAACAAGATAGTAACGGTTCTAAAATGTCTCTATCTAAACAAGATTCAGTTGTTTCCTATTATTTGGAGAATAAACGTGCTGGTCACAATCTCCACGATTCATTTTCTACTCAGGATTCCATGTCGGTAGACTCACGACGCGGTACCATAACAAAGTGTAATGAAAACGGTGGTGTCTCACCAACAGTTGGCTCACTGTTGGAGCATAAACGGCAAAAATTTGTTAAACAAGATTCGGTTATATCGTTCGGTGACCAAAGACCCGGTAAGTCAAATTTCTCGACAAGCGAAACAACGTTGCTCACACAAGTGATGCAATGCGAAGTGAAGAAGAGAGCTGAAAATTGAAATATTGTTAAGACTGCGCTTCAAGCGCTTTAACGCATGGTTAGAGATTATTTCAAAATTTCAGTACGAAGATGATGTAGATTAAAAGAGAAGAAGAAGTGCCTTGGCACATCGCCTAGCGGTGAGAAATTCCAATTAACTAACGATAGCACCCGATAGAAGCGCATCATTATTTTTCCCGTTTACGCCTATGTACCTTATGAGAATTGTTTTTTTTTTTTTTTTGTTTTTTGAATAAACTTTAAAATTTTCTAAATTACGATAAGAATCGAAATAAAGTTCGACCATGCGAGCTTTACTTTCAGTTCGATTAATTAAAATTACCGAACAACTATCTCGTAGCTATCCAACCTTTGATCACCGCGGATCACCGAATGCCTCCTTTCATTATTTTCCCAATCAGTTATTCACTAAAAAAAAAAGTCTATTCTAAAACGGAAGGTACATCAGACTAGAATTAACTTTCTTAACACATTTAACTTGATTTGATTTAACACGCAGAGCACATTTACGGCTATTGCCTAGACTAGGCAGTCAGTCAATCACAACTTTCGAAAAGAAATAGATATGAACACCATTGCCTTACAAAAAAATAATTTAAATGCTTTCGTTTAAATAATAACCTGTGACTAATGAATGCAACATGATCCCGTTTTATCTTTTCAAAGAACCACGTCGCCATCAATTAGTCAAACAGGACTCAGTTATATCATTTGCTGATCAACGGCGGGGAATTTTGAACAAACAGGATTCGATTATAGCTTGCCCTAATCGTAATGGCGATGGTACTGGTCATCATGTATCCATACTGAAGAAAACCGATTCACAAATCAGCGGCAGTTTCTGTTCACCACGACGTAATATAGAAATTTTTGAATAAACCTAAACCTGTGGTGCACAATAGCAAATAGAAGAAGAAGAAAAATAGAAATAAAAAAAACCAACTACTGCTACTACTACTACTACTATTATTATACTATTACCACTACCACTACTATTATACACATATATATATATATATATACACACACACATATATACACCCACACGCATAAACTTTACACATACACGCAAACTCAGTTATTAGCACATATCGTAGCAACAATTGCAAGCAAGAAGAAAAACATTAACAAAAAACTAATCTGTAGATTTGAAGAGGCTGACACACGTGAACAACCACAACAATAACAATAACAACAACAACAACAAATCAATAGAAAATTAAATGTTCTATAAACTGTTGACACGTTAAACATATGTTGAAAAAAGTTTTTCAATCTCTGAATATTTCCTCTCCCCTTCTCGCCCACTAACTATCACTCAAAAAGTTTACATCGTTCCATATCACGCCCACTCTAAATCTCTTCACATCTCTTTTTAAATTCTATCTCCATCTATCTATATATATGCAAACTGTAATACTAAGCTCTCACTCCAGACTCACACACAGTGATATTTTGTACGTGTATGACAAATTTTGTATGTATGTATTTGTAGTTTGAGGAACACACAGAGTTTTTTTATCAGTCATGAGAATACATGAAAATAGCTGTTAAGAAGGGAAAAAAAATATACAAAAGCAAAAAAAAAAAAAAAAAAAAGGAGTAAATATACAGAGAAAACTGAAAACAAAGCTATTTAAGTTAAATGATTGAGATAAACTTTTTTTCTAAATCATTTTAATAGTAATCACTTTGTTATTTTATGGGTTTGTTTTTTTTTTCATTTTTTTTATTTTTTTTTATTTTTTTTATTTTTATTATAAATTTTTTTTATCCGCAAAATAAACATAGCTACGATGTGAAACATATACATATGAAATGTATATGTATATATATATATATATATATATATATAGAAAAGATATAAATTTTAAGCGCCTGCGACCAAAAAAAACAAAAACAACTTTTATAGTGATTTGTTTTATCTAGAGAAGCTTAATAAAAACCGGTAACGAACGGGTGTTCCGGAATGATCTGATAATTAATACTTTTTACTTTATGAGGACTGATCGATTACATTCATTACATTACGCTATTTAAAAATTCTAAAATTGATAAACGCTATCTAACATTTTCAGAAAACATTTCTTTTTTTCGTTTGCTATGCACATACGGTCTTTTAACACAACATATCAATGTAAATTTCTCGTTTAATGACGAAGAACGTATCAATATCCAACTGTCATCGGAATGGCTGCTGAGAAGTGCAAGCTGAAATATTTTCACAGATACATATATTTATTGTATGCTGGACGTGGCATGAATAAGATCATCATTCTTTCTAACAAAATTATTCTGAGAGATGAGAGAGATAAGCCACCGAAGGGGGAGGCTGCACATTTATTTTGTGAAAACGTTTCAGAGATCTCACAGAGTATATGTATTCTTGATCAGCCTCAAATTCTGAATTGATTTAAATATGTCCGTCTGTCTCTTTGTGTGGTATCTGTGATGATAAGCATTCTTGCGTTAGCGGAAATACACGCCTACAACGCCCACTCGCCTATTCGACATAAACTTTTATTTTAAAAATAAATGCCAATTCTAGCAGAATCTCTCATTTGGACTTTTTATAATAAGCAAGTCTTCAAACAACAAAGAAAGAAATTGTAATGATGAAAAAAAAAATTCTTCTTCTTCGACAAAAGAATCATTTATATCAAATTTGGTAGGTGTATTTTCAGGACCTCTCCTATATAGAAGGTCTCCTCATCTATATATATAGGTAAAAACTTTTTATGAAAAAAATACACGTATAACAAAAAGAAGAAAAAGAAATTCCTCCCCCGTCAACGACTATATCTAGTCCACGTCACGTGTTTGGACATCGTTCCATACATTTGTTGTGCGCTTAAAATTCCACATTTTTATTGAATTCTTTATTCTTTGGTTCCACTAAAAAGTAGTCCTTGATCCTTTACAATTCTCACAAAGATTGCAAGTTGTACGCTGGTCAAGTTATTACACATTTCGTGGATTAAATTGCATACCTCGTGACCTAATGGATTCACTCCTGACCATAAATCGAGCATGGATAATTTTAAACGATACCCAAAACGGTATAGCAGGGTGAACTAAACCCTAAACGCTTTGGAGATAAAAGTTGCCAGCTTGTCTTCACTAACCGCT